GGGATGCTGGTGCTTGGAGGTGAAGGATCAGCCAGTTGAGTCAATATGCTGGCCCCTATGGTATTTTGTTATTAGCAAACTCATGCACTTGACTCAAGATGTGTAAGCACTTCCGGTCTAGTCATGTAGTCTCTGACCAGGAGAGGCAGAGCCAGGGCATGGCAGCGTGTACTTGTGGAGTCTAGAATCTTGGTGGGGAATGGTTGTCGCAATAGGTCTATTGTGTGGCTATGGTCTCCGACAGTAGGTTATTAGGCTGTGGTCAAAATTCCTTACCCTGGAGTTGGGCATGTAGATGCCTGGCAGGGTTTCCAGCAAGAAAGAGCCTATGGGTAAGGGGGTAGGGAGGGGTTGGGCTCTGGAGCCAGGCAAGGGTGGCAGCCACAGTCTTTATATCCTTGGTGATTTTTGGAGTGAAAGAAGTGGAGAAACAGCAGGACCTTCCATAGCTGCCCTCAGCCCTGGAGCTACAGTGTGGCTGAATTCCTTTCTGGGAAAACCTGGAGAAACTAAGCGAGTTGTCCATTGCCACAACTGTCTGGCTGTCAGGAATCTATGTGCGTTTTACTTCTTTGTGCCTCTTGTTGCTACCCTCCTGAGCTCCTTCTCGCCACCCTCTGCTTTGTGGCCATGCACGGTTGTGATCTGATCTCACTCTGCTTGCCACGGTGAGTGCTATTCATGCTCCTCTTAGTCCTGGCTCGGCTAGAGCAGGCTGCTGGAGTGGACTCCCCTGCCTGCGTGGAAGGCTCCCTGCTGTAACAGGTCAGCCTGTGGGAACAGGGAGGTGGCACAGAGCTGAGAAGGTGTTGCCCTGTCCTGAGTGACTAGGACCATCCGTCATCTTCCTCCTAATTCCAGTGCCGGGCAGCGGAGTCGAGCATGCCCAGTGCGCCTTGACCTCAGATGGACTTGGTTCCCCTCCAGCTGTGCCCTTGGCTTCTCCTGCTCCACCCCACGGGCTCAAGTGTACAAACAACAGAGACTCCCCGCTGCTCGTCCCTGCTGTCTGGTGAGGCCCGTGCCACGCCTTGCTGACCTGGGCACATTCCCTGAATTCATTGAATTATCACCTGTTTACACTGGACTGAGCCAGTCCCCTGCTCTGTGGCCGACTCCTCCTGACCGCTGCTGACGGCGTGTCACTGCCCATGGGTTTTTGCAAAAATTTCTCTTTTCTCTGTGGGAGGGAGCCCATGCGTCAGTGCCACCTTCCCTCTCTTTTCTCATCCTTGCAATCTGCTTTTCTGGCCATGATAATTCAAGAAGCATCTTTAGAAAAAAAAAAGCCTTCTGAATTTCATTTAATTTTTGATTTGTAACTAAATTATCACGAAATGATTATCTTTTTTCCAAATTAGTATAACAACTCATTCCATTGGTTTTGAAGAACCGTGTGCCTGGCCACCAGCGCACATACTTGTTTGTGCATCTGAACATGGGTTGCTCATTATGACTCAGGTTAGAATTTATTGAGGGCCTTTCCTTGCATCATTTCATGCTGCATAGCAGCTCTGGTCACCAGGTGCACAGATCTGAATGACAAAGGAGGAGAAATAAAAGTCAGTTTTGCACTGTTAAGGTGCCTGAGCCTGAGTCTCGAAATTATCATTTTTTTTTCTCTCTGAGCAAAATGTGATGCTGTGGCCTGGTTTGTTGGGTCACCACGCCATGTGATATCCTGTTCCATTCACATCTTGACTCACTGTTACATTCACAGAGTCACTGTAGGCGAAGGGCACAGGCTGTGTATCCGTGAAGGAGCACCCCAAAACCCCATTTTTTGATCTCTGTTTCAAGGTTATCCTACCAAGCAGTACTGTAGATGGACTCCCACTTCAGAACAACCAACCAACAAACCAAACGTGTGCTTTGGCTCCAGCCAGCATCACTGTCAGCGGCGGCGCAAACACACTGATACTGACATTAGTCCATTCTGGTGTGGGAGAACTTGCTTCCTTCAATCAGGGTGCATTCAGAAATGGAAACAGTCGGAGGATTTCCCAGGCCCTTTCTTTGGCCTTGTGTGGAGGGAAAGGCTTTCTCTAGGGCTTTCCCCGTTCTTCTGACCCTCGGAGCACACAGGGTGAGTCTTATTTTTTAGCTGACCCAGATAATGGAACAGAGATTGGTTGCATAGACTAGCCTAACAATACCAGGATAGAAGTCATTCAAGCTGCTTAAAATCCAGATGCAGATTCAAAAGCACACTACTGAGTCTTGAGCGGAAGGCAAGGAAGGGCAGGCGACACAGAACGGTAAGAAAGCAGCAGCGCAGAGAGGGGAGTCAGGAGCGATTCTATACAAGCAAGGCACGGGCTGTCCAAGTCTGAGGTCGAGCTAAGTCCCCGGGCTGTGTGTAAAGCCATCATTACACCGAGGTGGAGAAATAGGCCACGTGAGGGGAGTTCCAAAACAGAACCTTCCAGAAGCAGCTAAGTCCTGCAGCATGCCTTGATGAAACCAGAGGATATTATTAAACTCATGTAATAATGCCACGCATTATATATAGTTGTCAGTGGTTTCCGGTTATGGATATTGTAATTGTCCAGTATCATGGTTTCCTGTCTTGGTTTCCCAAGTCTGGAATGTTCCTTGTCAACTAAAAGAACAGATAACTCTGTTAGTGAACCAGTGAGGCTTTTATTTTAAAGGATACAGTGGTTTTTCTTGGCTTTTGTTTGGTTAAAACAAACATGGCAATCTATAGAAAGGTTTGTGATAGCTAAACACATAGGACTTGTTGGAAATGGTATTTCTGAATTTTCTGGGTCCTGAGCTCTGTCAGTGGCATCCCAGTTCCCTGGACTAACATTGGATAAAGACTACAGCAGTGTTTGTTTGTTAAAATAAAAGCCTGTATGGAGAAGAAAGCTTTTTTTTGGCGTCTGTGATGGGAGACCCCCTGGGGCTCAAAGCCCACACCCATGCAGCCACACAGGGCCTGGGGTCAGAGAGCCCTGTGCTGAGGGATTCATGTTTAATCATTCTACTCCTGCAGTATGTTCCTTTTTTACAAAGATATTTATTTTCTGAAAGAATGTTCAAGAGAGAGGAAGTGACAGAGACCTTGCATCTGCTGAATGGCTGCCCAGGTTGCAACACTCTAGGCCAAAGCCAGGAGCCTGGAACTCCACCCAGGTCCCTTCTGGTGGTGGGGGCCCAGGCACTTGGCCCATCTTCTCCTGTTCTTCCCAGTGCGTTAGCAGGGAGCTAGATGCACATAGTGTACACCAGTGTCACAGATGGCAGCTTAACCCACTGTGCTACAATACTCGCCGTATCTTTCAATTTCTTTTGTAGGTGAAAGTGGGTTAGGATGGTTAAGTGTGTCCCAGGGACTCAGAGCCTCAGCTCCTGTGCAGTTCTGCCTCCTCCTGCCTCCCTGCTGACCCTGTTCTTGGCTGCCCACCCCCTGCCCCTTGGACCGCTTGGGATTCCTCCAAGGCCAAGGAGGACTCGGAATGGACAGATCAGCAGGTTCACCTGAGTGCTCCTCCAGGCCGTATCCCGGAATGTCCTTGGTAGCACCCAGAGGTATTTGGCCTTCCTGCAGGGAACTGTGATATGTCTTAGAGTGACTCTCAGTGCAGCCGAGCAAACCCAGGCCGTCAGCCTCTTGTGGGAGTTGCAAACTCAGCTGGGAGTGGGTGCTTGGCCTAGAGTGGGTGGTTTGATGACCGCCTCGGCTTGGATCTCTGGCTTCCTGCAGTGATGGCTCCCTGGGTCTCACGTGATTGAATTCCTGCCAGCCGCAGAGGAGGCAGATTGAGTTCCTGGTCCTGGAGTTACCCCGCCCAGCCCAGCTGTGGCAGGCTTTTGAGTGAGCCACCTCTCTTTCGCTCTCTCACGTCTTCCTGTCCTCTCAAATACACTTTTTTTTTTTTTTAAGAAAAGAGGAAATAACCTAGTCTGTGTGCCATATGCGCATCTGGCTGGCTGAGGTCACACCTGCACTCCGCCTTGGACTTGGCCTGGCTCTCCTCGGGTGGTGATTCCACCCACAGCTTCTCCCAGCGTCTCACTTGGGCTACTTCCGGCCAAACACAGCGCATGAGCTTCCGGGTGGCCTGGATCCTGAGCCTCCTTCCTGGGGCCCCTTAGTCCTCTAGAATCAGCTATCATCTCATGTTCCCTCTTTGTGCCTTGGGATTTCTGTCTGCCCTTGGATGCCAAGGGCCAGCTCCTGCCCTTTGCCTGTCTCCCCTGCCAGGTGCCAGCCCTCTCCTGCCTTCTCCCGCTGAGGCCACCCGAGAGAGAGCCCTGAGCCTGTTGAACCTGGATCTGTTCCTCTTTTGTCCTCCAAGCAGAGTAGTCTCTGTTTGCCTTGGAATTTCATCCATTCTCTCAGACCAAGGTCAAGGGCCACTTCTGTCTGGTCCTTCTATCCAGTGCTGCATGATTTGCTGTTATTCTGTTCCCTTGCTCGCCTGCTCAGACCAAAGCCACGCCTTGTCTGCACCTCGTGAGGTCCGGCTCTGCCTGATGACAGAACAGGTTCCTATAGGCGGGGTGCTCCCCGAAGGAAGCATTAGCAAGTTGGACCTTTAAGTCATCTTTTGAAGAGAAGGGGCCAGGATGTTCAGAGTAAGGCTAAGACAGAGGACTGTGTGAGTAGGGCTCTGTGTCTGTCGGGGAGTTCCACAGCTCGGGCTCTGTAGCGCATCAGGAATCAGTCTCGGGCCAGTTCCAGCCTGCCTCTGGGCAGGGAGATGTCAGGCGTCGAGGGGATGTTTGGGCCACACCCATGACAGCATATCCTCTGCCCAAATTAGAGGTCGGAGTCTGGCAGGAAAGTGCCCACGGTTCAAGGGCTTTTGTTTGCTGACTTTAATGTCTATACAATGACTTTCAGGCCCTGTGATTTTAAAAAGTGAAATCATTCTTGCATGTATGTTTTTTTTTTCCTGTGGCAGGAAGTCAGCATGCATGCTTTTAAAGCACAGATTGAACTCCTTAAGAGAAATTGTAATTTTTCTTTTCCTGTTTTTCCTCTGCAGGTTCCTTGCGCTGACTCCATGGAGAGTTTACCACCTGATTTCTGTCATGATACTGGGCCGTGTTATTATGCAGATAATAAAGGATATGGTTTTGTCTAGGACAAGAGGTAAGAAAAGTCAGATTTCAGTTTTTTGGCATCCGGTTTTCTGGCCCCTGGCTCTCACTGCTGTTTGTGCAGGCACATCACCTCCTTCTCTCCCTTGGTCAGTAGCACAGTGGCTGTTCAGCAGGACTGCCCGTTTCTACAGTGGGGTATTTGACTGTGTAGTTTGCAGCCATGACTCCTGCTCCTGGGTAGAAAGCTGGTGCGTGCTGCTTTCTTTCTGGGCTTTCCCTTCTGTTGTAAATATCATTTCGATATGTAAGTAGGTCACAGTAAAGATAACAGTTAAATATTTATTACATCCCACATGATGAAACTGGGCCATAGGAACATGGACCAGTTTATATAAAAATTCCCTCTGCATACACTGAAGAAGTCATTCATGGCTTAAAGACAAACACATTTTAAACAATGAACTGATGGAAATAATTGTGGACATGACTTGCAAGTGAGAACTTGAATCATTCAATTTTCCCAAGATGCTTTCTTAAGTATTTAAACTATCCTGGAAATCTGAGTCAAGTGTTTCTATACTTGGAGAGGCCTTTTCTGCTTGTGTCTGAGCAAGTTTTTGTAAATGGCAAGAAAGCCCTCTAGGAATAATTGAGATTCAGGAGCCTAAATGTAGTTAAGAGAGATTTGATGAAGAATAGCCACTAACAGGTTACACTGGAACGTTTCATCTGCCCCGTGTACCCCAGGTGGAGGGACAGTCTTGGGTGAGTCCGACTGGACTGCTGTGCGTGAGAGCCACCCGGTGCTCCGCCCTAGAGGGCGACCTGAGGCCCAGTGTAGGAGCCAGTCGTCCCCTCCCTACACCAAGTCCAGGGTCTAAGCTTTGATGCATTTATCACCATCACGTTGAATGAATCTGCTTCAAATCTGGTTTATATTTTAAGTTTTCACAGTTTTTAAATTCAATCATGATGTAAACTGCTTTCACAGTGACGGCTTTGTATTACTGCATTACCAGGTTTCCTTCTAATTCTGCAGTGGTTTTGTTCTGACAAGGTGAATATTTCTTTTTTTTTAAAAGTCTGGTTCGTGCTTTCCAGGAGTCTGCAGCTTTAGAGTGCTTCTGGGTTGCACCGCTCTTTCTATCCCTTTTATCCCATCTCTCCTTCCCTGTCTTTCAATGCTCTGCTTCGGAGAACAGATACCCCCGCGTGCCTCACCCTTCAGCTTCAAGGAGCCTGGATGTTGAAGGCATGCTTGGCAAGTGTGGACTGGAGTGGTCCATGGGGGGTCCCACCTGGCACTAGCTTGACTCCTAAGTGAGAGGGTTCTCCTGAGCCTTATAGCGGCCACGTTAGCTTGGTCGGCTCCAAAGAAGCTGGACCTCTTGATATTTTCAGTCCTGTGTCAAATTTGGCTGCAGTTTGGGGTGTAGCTTATGAAGACCAGACGGAAGCGGAAGGCCAAGGAGGGCTGTGAAAGACTCACTGGCTGTGGGAAGGGCCGTGAGTGAAGGATGAGCTACCTTTGTGCACCTTTCTCTAGAGCTGCGGAGATCTTCACCTTTGAATTTCACTCCTTGACTTCATAATCATGCGAAGGAAGACATTTTGCATTTACAGACTGTCAACACTCAGATCTCTAAGAAACTAGGGTGGTGGAGTTGAAAGTGTATTGGCCTATGTAGTTCACTCCTTCCTGAACTGGTTTCACACTGTTTCCTTGCAATGGAGGAGTCAAAAATAGACGTGTTGTTGCCTATGATTGCAACAAATTGCCACAATCCTGGTGGGTCAGAACAGGAGACAGTCCACCTCTCACAGTGCTGGAAACCATTAAGCCAAAGAAAGGCAGTTCTTGGGGTACCCTTTGTGCATCAGTTCACTTGGAGTGCCCTGTGTGCCCCTCTCCTTGACCAACTGCACCTGTTCAGCTGGATCTTTCTTGTCCATTGGTTTGACTCATCTGCTTTGCCCCGTGCCTTTGCACATCACCAGCTCCATTGTCAATTGACCCTGGATGTGGCCCTGGCTGGGTCCATGCTCGGAGAGTGCAGAGGTGCCTTCAAAACACTTCTCTTGCTGTTTTCTCTAACAACCATATTCATGTCCCAAACTTCTAATAATAAAATAAGCAAGCAAACCCATGTCCCATACTGTTCTAATTTCTTTTTTTCTTGGCCTCAGTATTAGAAAAAGATCATATGATAAGGAGACTAAATGCTTCTAAAATGCAGTCCTTCTGGCTTCCAACTTCAGTTGAGACCTCACTGTTGTTTGCAACTTCATGGATTCTTTTGAGTTGTTACCTTTTTTTTTTAAATTTATTTTTGTTGGAAATGGAGATTTACAAAGAGAAGGAGAAACAGAGAAAAAGATCTTCCATCCACCGATTCACTCCTCAAATGGCTGCAACAGCTGGAGCTGAGCCGATTCGAAGCCAGCAGCCAGGAGCCTCCTCCAGGTCTGCCATACAGGTGCAGGGTCCCAAGGCTTATTGGTTTCCAGGCCATAAGCAGGATGCTGCACAGGAAGTAGAGCAGCCAGAACATGAACTGACACCTAACTGGGATGCACACAGAGGATTAGCTAACTGAGCCATCATACTGGCTCTGAGTTGTTGCTTCTAATATACCGCTGAACTCTACGATTTTGAAGAAGCTTATAAGGAACATAAAACAAGACTGTGAAAGAGTCAATTTTGACAGATTTTTTTCTTGGAAGCAAGTGTTAAGAATTTGGCACGTGGATCTTGGCTGGAGATATTAATAAATATAAGAAAGATGCTTTGCTGAAGACCTTTGACCTTTGTTTGATGGAACATTTTCTCATGATCATTTATTTCATTGAACTTGGTTAAAACTGGTAGTATTATATCAAGACACAATCGAATGAAGATGGTCCCTGGAAAATTAAAAAAGCAAATGAGATAAAGGCGTTATAGATTGCCTTGAACTTGACTTGAGCCTGGTTAGAAACTTACAAGATCTGAAGAATAAATAGATTAAAAACCTTCATTCTCAGATACCCTCTCTTCATTTTTGTTTGGTCAGCAACAGGGTGAGTCTCTTCGATGCCACCCCATTGGTGCTTTCTTGAGCAGCCACATTTTCTCTGTCCTTGAACTTGTAGGTTTCCACTTCTTGTGTAGTTCCTGCACCATTCACCTGAGTTCACGTCGATTCGAGTGCACATTTTGTTCGCTCCGCTCACTGCTAAAGCCTCTGAAACACCATTGATTCTAGAGCATTCCATTTTCTCCATGATATGTGTTCAAGTATTTTTCATGTGGTGGAAAATTTTGACTAGATGGACTGCCCACACAATGCTCTGTGTGGTTTGATAGTGTCAGTGTTTAAAGTGGTAAGCATTCCATTTGAAACAGCTCAGGGCCTGTCTAAGCCAAGTGCCTCTTGAGAGCAAGGCCTGATGAGGTCTCACCTTTTCCTCCTCTCCCTTTTGCAGGTGCACAGCTGTGGAGGAGCCTCAGTGAAAGGTAGGGAGCTGGCCTTCAGGCGGGTGGGGTCGGGCTGGTGACCGAGCAGCCGAGGTGCATCTCTGAGGTCACACGTCAGTAACTTGTGATAGTTGGAAAGCAAAGTGTGGCCAAATTGAGGACAAGAATAAAATTGGGACTCCTTCTGGGAGATGGTCTGTATTTTGCTGTAGTACTGGGTCATGTGCGTTTATGAGAATTGCAGTGTGGAAAGACTTGGAATTGAAAAGAGGGAGGCCTTTCTTTGTGTTTGGGATTTTCTATCAGACTTCATTTTTGTGGTGCCATCAAGGGGGAACAGTGTCACACTAAGTTGTAGAACCTGTGGGATGTTCTGAAGGGTCAGTCTGCAGGTGTCAGAGGACTCTGGAGTTGGGGGAGATGGTGAGGTAAGAGATTCCTGGAGACACGTGGCAGGTGTTGCCCCCACTGACTCCTGCGCAGCCAGAGACCAGCACCAGCTCTGTTTCTGTTCCGTCTTCCACTGCGCTCTGAAGGAGCTGTTTCGAATGGGAGGGACAAGAGCGTTTACGAGGGGAACATGGGCCACTTCGCCACTGGGCACGTGGCATATGCAAAAGGGAGAAAGAATAAGGACTCCTAGTCCAGGAAAATGAATTTTTGCAGAAATTGAGTTTTCAAATTTCGCTTTGAAAATGATTCTAATTAGTTTAAAAGGATGGCTGGGGTGCCTGATTTACATCACAGAAATTTACATGGCCAGGAAATGAATGCACAGGCAGAAGGTCAAACCAATGCCCTGAAAAGTTTGTGAGCAAAAACATGTCTGCTCTGCCCTTCCACCCACGTTTCCTCCCGTCCTTAGGATCCCACGTCACAGTGGTGCATCTGTAATTAGAAAAAAAGCAGTAGTTGATAATGTTCTAGTGCTCCGAGGCCCACACTCTATTTCGGGATGGCCCATGGCGTTTGCCGGCCAGCGGGGAAGGCTTTGCAGTCTTCCCTGGTTTTGTTGACCTTGATGCTTTCGACCAGTGCTTGTGAGGTGCACCCCCTCTTGGCATCTCTTTTTCTCATATTGGCCTGAGGTTTTTGTGCTTGGAGAGGAAGACCACAGCGGTCAAGTGCCATTTTCTGCACATGCTGTCGAGGGATCTTGCCACCGACGTTGATACTGACCTTGGTCGTCTGGCTGGGTAGGGCTTTTCAAGCTTCCCCAGGCTGGTTCTCAGCGGGGACCAGGAGACTCTATTTGAAAGTCAGGTTAAGATTGGACTGCTGCTGCTGAGACGCAGCTTGAGAGCTGCAGCTGGGTGTTAGAAGTGGCTCCTTTAGGTGCTGCAGGCCCTGCTGCTCGGTGCTCCCCACCCTGGCCACTTGGGGCCTGGGCTGTAGTCCTGCCCACCACATGCAGGCTGGACCTTCTTGAGTAAGCATAGTCAGCTTTCTGTTTCTGTTCTAGTTGTTCAGCTTGAGGAAAGCAAGAACTGGGATTGGGGGAAAGATGCTATCATGTGTCCAGTATAGTTTCCGCAGAGTTGTAAGAAGCATCAGTGCTGTCTCAGAGCTGTCAGATGTCTTAATACCTGCTTTGGTCAAATTTTCGTGCTGCGGGTTGAATGTATCCCCCACATTCGCGCGTAGGAAACTTGAGTGCAGGAGCACTGAGCGCGGGGACTCCTGGCGAGTTGTCTGTGAGGTTTGTGTGGTCCGCGGAAATGAGCAGTGCATGCGCTTTGGTGGGAAAAGGCCGTAATACACCTTAGGGATTCAACAGTGACGGACAGGTCTTCAGAGGCAGGGTGGGATGTGCCGTTTTGTACAGGGAAGCCACATGGCGCTCGGGTCGTTCCTGTTCCAGGCTCCAGGCGCTGAGCTGCGAAGCCTGCCTGGCAGCGGGAGCAGGCAGCTGCCCAGCCGAGGTCCCGGGCCATTCAGCGTGGGGCAGCGTGCTCCCAGGGTCATGTTGGATCGCCTCTTGGTTTGTGCCTGATTTCTAATCAGGCAGGCCTGCCCTCTGTAGGGGTCCCCCCCCCCCAAGCCCTTTCTATTTTTTTTAAATTAAAAAACTTTCCATATTATTATTATTATTTTATGATACAATTCCAAGGCTGTTCCAACTGGACTGTTGTGTCTGGGATTTCCCTAACCCTTCCCCTCACACACTGATTTCTCCTATATTATTATAATAGTATAACTCTTCATAAACAGTCATATGTCCATCATTGCGCAGATGGACAATGGCAGAGTGTGCAGCATCCTATTGTCAGGATATATTTAACACTTTTCATTGGGAGCCCATCTTTGATCTGGAAGTACAGATGCATATTGCATTGTATCCTCACACAATAATAATAATAATAATTGGAAAGTCAGATATATAGAGAGGAGGGGAGACAGAGAAGAGATCTTCCATTCGTTGATTCACTTCCCAAATGACCGCAATGGCCGGAGCTGAGCCGATCCGAAGCCAGGAGCCAGGAACCTCCCCAGGTCTTCCACATGGGTGCAGGGTCCTAAGGCTTTGGGCTGTCCTCGACTGCTTTCTCAGGCCACAAGCAGGGAGCTGGATGGGAAGCAGGGCCGCTGGGTTTAGAACCGGCGCCCATATTGGCTCCTGGGGCATGCAGGGTAAGGACTTTAGCCGCTAGGCCACTGTGCCAGGCCCTACTCACATAGGGTTTTAATCAGCTCATGGAAGGAGCATCCGCAGCCGTCATTTTGGTGTTCCAGGAGGCCTGCAGGTGGCCCACTCCTCAGTTCTAATGCCCTGAGATGCTTTAAATGAAGAGGGGTCTTCTCTCTTCATCCTCCTCTGGAATCCCAACAGCTCTTGGTTCACAGACTCTTACTTGCATTTGGGGGAATTCACTTTAATCCACTGGACCAAGCGTCAAGTGTTTCCTCCGGGGAAGAGCATGCATGCGCTGTTGTCCCTGCCTCTTCAGGAGCGCGCATGCGTGGGTGTTGGCGGGGCGTGGTTTCTGTGGCCGTGTGAAGAGTCTAAGAAGTGCTCACGCATGTTATAGTGGACAAGTGCATTGCAAAGAAGCGAAGGGTGTGTTCCCAGTGTGTTATTGGATTTGTTAGGTATTGGTACCTGGAAACCTTGTTTGTGAATGTCTGTTTCTCAGTGGGCGTGGTCCAGGTCTTGCTCAGCCTGTTTATTTAGTCATCATTAGCCGCACAGTAGGTGAGCAGGAATTACGCAGAGCTGTCCATCTGCAGAGCCAGCTTGGCGTTGTTTATGGCCTGTTGCTAGTACTGGTTGGACACTTGAGCCCTGGAATTGTGATCGCCTCTATTTCCGCACTGGAAACCCCCAGATTGGATAACCCCCAGATTTCAACAAGAACCTACCCGCGTGTGTTGTTTCTCCGTGTGCACTGCGCCTTTGAGAAGCACTGCATCATTTTCAGGCTGACTGGGTTTTTCTAAGCTAGCATAAATTAGAAACATCTCTACTTACAGATCATAATCATTCAAAACATTGCTTTTTTAAAAATGTTATAGGGATTTCTTTATCTGAAAGGCCAAATTACAAGGAGAGGATGATCAATAGCAAGAGATCTTCCATCTGTCCGTTCAGTTCCCCCATGACTGCAAAAGCCAGGGCCAGGCTGGGGCCAGGAGACAGGAACTCCATTCTCTCCGTGGGCGGCAGGGGCCAAGCACGTGAGCCATCTTTGGTTGCTTTCCCAGGTCCATTAGCAGAGAACTGGGTTGAAAGCCCAGTAGCTGGGACACAGATTGCTCCTCATTTGGGTTGGCAGCACTGCAAGTGGCAGCTTCATGCACTGTGCCACCACGCTGGTCCCACCGTATTTTCAACCCGGAATATTTACTGCATGTCTAAATTTTGAAGTTCTTCTTAAGATTTTACTTGAGAGGTAGAAAGTGGGAGAGGATAAAGTCCCCATTGGCTGTTTCATTCCCGATGGCCACAGGGCAAGGAACTGCGGCTCACCCCCATCTGGACCCAGTGCGTGGCAGCAGCAAGGTCTCTTGGGACCCCCGTTGCCCCCCAGGGTCTGCCTGGACAGGAGCTGGACATCAGATCCAGCTGCTGTGGACGGCTCAGTGCGCCGGGGGCCTCTTTCCTGGCGCTGTCGCAGTGCCCGTTGCCTGCGTCTGTCTCCCTGGGAGGCTCAGTGTAGGGTCCAGTGCCAGTTTGCAGAAAGCAGTGTGTATGTGTGTTTGTCATGGGAACTAAAATATGTGAAATTTGAGTGTTACAGCTGACAGCTCTGGGGTGGTCTGACTGACGTTCCAACTTCCAGAAGCTTCTCATGGTTTGCTGTTCTCCGGAAGTGGCTGTGCATTCCCTGGGATGCAGCCTGGCCATTCCATCTGACCGCCTCCTGCCTCAGAGGCAGAGCGTGGGACTGGGCGTCCGTCTCTCCGGCAGGGACTGGGGTGCGGAGCTGTGAGCGCCCTGCGTCCGGCTTGCTCACCCTGAAGAGTCCCTCCCAGGCTGCATGTCCTGCTCTTTCCCTCACGCCCACTCGGAGAAGCAGCAGCTGTGTGGCCCCACATCCTGGGATGAAATGCTCTTTTGTTTTCTGGGTTTCTGGATAACTGCCTCTTTTTTTCCCCAAGGTCAGGGGAGCGGGATGGGCAGCAGGCGCGGAAAGAGGAACCAGGAGTGTCTGGTCCTTGGTTGGTTGTGAGAGGCACCCTGCTGTTGACGGCGTGAACAGAGTGTCACCTGGCTTCCCCTGTTAGCCCTGTGAAACATGAACTCATGTGGCACCTTGTTCTTCTAAGTGTGCAAGTTAGTGAGAAGACTTGTGGAAAAGTGTTTGCTTGTTGGTGCCGTTCATATCAGACTTGCATAGACATGGGGTGGGCATTGGCTTGGTCTAGTGGTTAAGATGCCTGGGTTCAAGGTCAGCCTCTACTTCTGATTGCAGCTTACTGCTGACGTAGAGCATTTGGGGCAGCAGTGGGTGGCTCTCACCACTCACGTGGGAGACCTGGGTTGAGTTCCCGGCTGTGACCCTGTCGCAGCCCCAGCCGTTGCAGGAATGAACCCGTGA